TCCATTTTGGGGATAGACGCCCGCACGTGCATGTAGATTAAGGCCCCAAAGTTTCAGCCCGGTAGCTTTTGCCGGTCTCGAGATGAAAAATCGGTACAGACGTGCAGCGCACACACAGACACACACACAGATAATCTCTCGTCAATATGTGTTTTTCGCGTTGCATTGCTGCAAAAAACGCATAATAAGCAGTCTTCTTCAGATAAGTTGCAATACACAGAAAGAGAGTGTCAATGAAATGTACTGATAACGCAGACTGTACAGTACGGGCAGTGTCAGAATCTGTATACGTTAGCTATAGCAATGTACGTTCTGTGGAACACGAGGTGGCGTCAGTTGTGTAAATCGCAGGAATGATTCTTTGTTACGCGATAAGTCGCCGACATCAAAACAAATCCGACTGTCGGAATCCAAAAACACTGAAAGAGTCTGATTCAATTTCTCTGTGCTTTAATTACAGTTCGGCTTCGAAGTTAGAAAAATTTAGTTTTCAGTTTTTCTCTTGAGTTTATGATTCGTAACATTTGCTCGGATTATTAACTTTCAGTGGGAAGAAGAAATGTGGCGACGAAACAAGAGTTGGTCAAAGCATATGTATGTATCAGTTTTGAACTCACAACGGTAATGAGATGAAGTCCAAACCGAATTCACCCGTGCCTCATCCATCTGCTGCACTAAGATACATCCATTTCTAACATTTCATATCCATTGGGAAAGTACGTCAATTCTTTTAAGTCGACTGGTTCTCGAGCTTACGACTACTGTGCTCCAATATACGCCCCCATTGCTAGCAAAATAAGCAGCCTAGCAAACTTTTTTTATCGTGAAGATTCCGAAACTTTTAGCCGGCAATATATCCGGTGAACCGATTTGCAGGCCCAATTTCTTACTTTCACTTCGTATACCAAACTGCTATAACGTCGCTTTCGTAGAGCTTATCTGCGGATAAAGCGCCTTCGTTAACGAATATGAATTAGGGAACTGTTTATCGTAATGATCTTTGAGTCTTGTTTCACGTCTACTTTACTAATTACGTTTTGAAAGAGGGTGCAGAAGTCTTGAGCAGGAAATATAACCGCTTTATTCGCTTTTGTTCATGCTTGTATATTTATGCAAATGCAAAACGCTTATTGTCACAAGGTTACCTATCTTCTGATTACGAAAACGAGTGAATTTTGTCAACCATTTACGATTCAGCAGTTGGAGGAGGTAGGAAACTAAAATTTTAGGAGCATGTTCCATCGCATGTGTCACACTTCTTTAAAATCAACGCTCAAGTACGCTGGGTCACACGTATGGACATCTAAAACAAGAAATGCAAATTTTTTAGCGGCAAATGATTTCGGAAATAGACCCAGGCTGGAACGCCCCGGGCGGGCCCGTGCGATCATGCGTTTCTGCACAGGACTTGAAGTTCTCAGGTCATTAACTGCATGAATGGTTGTTGCTTTACACATACCTTTTGCGATCACTTGCATAAAT